ATAAATATTAAATTTTATTTTGTATGCTAATAGCCTAACRATATTTTATATGACTCATATAGGGGTATACAAAATAGGTTCAATTWATACAATAATAATATATTATAAAATAATATACCTACTTGAAGTATTTATAATAAGCCTATTATCCAATGTCCACTTTAAAACTTTCACTTATTTAATCTAAATACTGACAGATTTATAATTTTAAAACTTAATTTAATTAATTAGTAATAAAAATATGCCATTTTCATTATAAGTACCTAATTCTATTGCGGTCTAACAGATTTCTGCTAAGTACTTACACTCTTTTTCAAATGAAAAAGCACCATGCCCATGCATACGACATAGTGTGTGATAGCAATGACTATAGTCTGTGGATTAGGTCAGATAGTAGATACTTAAACTAAAACCAGACTTCATCATCCTCCCAGTGATTTTATTTGAAAAAAGAATGTATCCAAACATTTACTTTATTAAATACCACCGCCTCCACCTCAGAAATATTTGTAAAACTAAATCATTTAAGGATGGCAAAAACATGTTAATATTAACTATTATTGTTTTAAGGGCATTGGTTAAGTGGGTGATCTACCAGGTATTTTAAGGTTTAGAGTGATCTACCGAGAAAACAGTTAACAACAAGTACCTAAAATAAAAATTAAAAATAAATATGTAGGTACCTAATGTTATCTAATAAAAATGTAATTCAATTAAAACAATAACTATATTTAATACATTTAAGGTTCTGTGTCTAAAAAACAAATGATACAATTAGTATAAGTCAAAATTTTTATGAAACACAAACTTTTTTATATCTTCCAAAAAATGTATAAATAAATTATTCAGATTATGTATTGAGCGGTACTAACATTCAATTGAATAGYGTGGTAATAGATTTTCATAAGCCCCAAACATTTTTCTTAATATTTACAATAAAATTTCTAAAGTTTGCGTGTTAGCATTTACGAGATTCACAAAATGTTCRGATTTTATTTTCAAAATTTATTTCCCTAATYGGTTTTTTCAATTAACTTTATCGTACATTATTAAGTCACTAAAGGCATATTATACATTACCTATTAATAGTAGATCATGGCAGACTTGGTAGATCACACACTTTACCAATGCCGTTTTTAGATTTAAAAATTTATCTGATAAAATCTAATGAATGATTTTTTTTTTAAACTGACAGTTAGTTATATAGATAAAACCTAAACAAATGTACAAATTTGTTATAGAGAATAATATATTTTAAGCTATTAAACTAACTGAAGTAAATTCAAACATATGCAGTAAGGAAAACAGATTAAAATAAACCAGACTAGACATTTATTTTATTGACAACCCTCAATAGCAGATAAAATAATAAATTAATGAGTACCCAAGTATAAAGAAGAATGTTCAAACAACTTTTTAACAAAAGATAATTATTTATAAATATACAAACTACCTAGATATATTTTTACCTAAATAAATAAATAATGMATTTTTTATTCGTTATTACTTTATTAGGAAAATCTTCATTTTAGTTAAATTATCATTAGATACCCATAAGGTGTTTTACTGATTTTAATATATATCTTAATACTGAGCATAAGATAATGATAATAAAATGATATTATAAAATTAATGTCATATAATGTTATTAGTGACAAAAAACTTTCTCTTCGYGACCTAGAAAAATGTATCAAACATTTGATTTTTAAAAATTTAAATTATGAATTTAAGAATTGAGCATTTAATATTCATCTGAATTTAGAATGACCTGTTAATTAYTATACATAATATTAATATAATTTAAGTTGTTGGTGTTTTAAAAACTAAACATAGTATTATGTTAAAACATCAAATATTATAAATTTTTAAGCAATGTTGTTTTAATCAAGTGTGTGTTTAACATATGTAGWATTGGTCAAAGAAAAATTATTTATATGAAAACAATATTAAACTGATTGCAATTACATGCATAAAAAACAAAATTACAATAATTTTTTGATTCACTAACTATACCAACCCTCTTAATATTACAGAAAAATTTGACTGATAATAAACTATGTAGGCTAGGTATATCAGATAAYTGATCATTTTAAATTTTAGACATAGTCAAAACATTGTATGCTCAATACAATATTTTTGTTAACGAGGATATATTGTACATATTAAAAACAAATATAGGTTAATTAAATTGAATTGATTAAATATTTCAGATTTCCCAATTACCTTAAAAATCAAGTCATGTCAATTCAGCCAAATTTAAAAGTTTCAATTATTTACAAGCTACATTTCAAAGGTATATACACCAACAATTAAGAATACATTTTTAAACATAGTGATTAGTTTTATTTTTTGATAATAAACTCAAGTCATCAATATTAATAATGTAWRTRAACTCCAAAATAGATGGGTACTTATTAAAATAAACTATGTCATACTTATTTTTAGTTTATAAACATTAAATATTATATTTTAAATTATTAGTCATTAGCTTATTACCATAATATTATAAGAATGACAAATCAAAAATCAATGGTGTTTGGCTAGCAAGTATAGATTCATTAGCAATGTACAGGTAAAAATATTT